CAGCAGGAAGCTGGAGGGCGCGGCGAGCGGCGGCGAAGGCCGTGTACTGGTTGTGGTAGGAAATCGGGAGGGGGTGGTCCTTGGTGAGGTGGTATGCCCGCGTCGCGACAGCGAGGCGCGTGGCGGAGTTCGGGATGCCGTTCTCGCCGTCGAACGGGTGCGACAGCTCGGGGAGCGCCATGCGCGTGAGGGGGTCGGCGCTCAGCTGGCCGCGAGGCAGGCTCAGCTGGTGCCACATGCGCTCGCACGTCATGTAGTGCTGAATGTTGTCCATGGCGAGCGGGTGCGTGCACCCGAAGTGGCAAGGGCGCTTGTCCTGGATGACATGCATGCGGTAGCTGGTGGCCCATGCGCCCACGAGGGCCTTCACTGTGGCCCACATCCGTGCAGGCGGTTGGGTAGCCAGGTAGGTGCGCAGGCGTTTCCAGCGAGCTGGAAGGTCGGCGGGAACCCGTTGGAGACGAAGAAGGTCAGGCGGCTCTTCTTCGTCATCGGGAGGGTCTTCGTCGCCGTCGGGGAAGTCGGCGTCACTGATGTCGGTGTCGGGCAGCTGGTACGGGAGAAAGTTGGCGACCCAGCGGCGGCGGGCTCGATGTTGGGCAGCTTCATGCTGAAGTAGCGAAATCTGGCTGCTCGGTTCTTCTGATCGGGTCCGTGTTCTCGAGAGACGGTGTTCGAGGAGGATTCTGCCAGTACCGCGGTTGTCCCATGCCTGCTGACACATGTCGGCGGCGATCTGTCGACGGCGAGTGGAGGTGGCGTAAAGCGGGCGAAAGGTCTCGGACCCGAGAAGCTCGTACAGGTACTCCGTGCACCACTGCATCCAGTCTGAGCGGTTGTCGATCGCGTGGTCATTGAGCAGGATGTCGGGGAGCCAGTGGGCGGCCCACGCGCGAGCTCGGTCTGCCAGACGTTATTGTACGATTTCGGCGTTTCGGCGAGGCCCGCTGAGCGGCTCCCTGGTGAGCGACTTCGCAGGGTCAAGGGACGGGAACCAGGACAGGAGACGCCGCTTTATGGTGTCTGCCATCGTGTCGGTGTAGAGCTGCTCGTTGAGGGACGTCATGTAGGCCTTCTGCGGCGTGATCTGTGCGGCTCGGCGGCGGTGCGGTTCTTGTTGCTGCTGTAGGAGGGCCTGCATTCCAGCACGAGCGGCTCGCTTGTGGATGCCAATCATAGCGGCTCGGGCGCGAGGAAAGGGGCCAGCTGTGCGAGTCAGCCTCTTTAAGCGGGAGCCCTTGCAGTCGGAGAAGAAGGTAGAGTTGGTGATGTGCTCGAACCGTTGGACGATGGACGTCTTGATGGACCAGCACTCGCTGCACCAGTGGCCGCGCTGCACTGTGACGAGGGGGAGCTGCTCGTACGCGGTGTCGCAGAGCGCGTCGAATGCGTCGCGCCACTCTGCCACCGCGGCGGTGGCTGTACGCCACATGGTGGCCGCCAAGTAGTTCTCGATGCCAATGGGGACCTCAGCCTTGGTCCAGAGGGACATCGCGAGGATGTCGGACTTCGCGAAGCTGGACGGGGCAACGCGCAGCAACTTGTGGATGGCCTGCAGCTCCTTCTGGAGGATGCCCGCCGAGGGTTCGAATAGCTGGCCTACGTATCCAAGGACCGTGACGGCAGCGACGTTGTACAGTTTGATGCTCTGCTGGATAGGGGCGCGGGACGCGGCGAGCTTCTCGATGCGGTCCCACCACTTGACAGCAGGGCCTCGCCATTGGTCGTCAAGAGTGGCGCCAGGGCCGATGAAGAAGCCGAGGTATCGGGCGCTGGACTCAACCTTGAAGGCAGCCCAGGGAGCGTGGGCGGCAGCAAGTACTTGGCGCATCTCTGCAATGATGTCCTGAGTGGGCAACGTCCAGGTCGGGACCACGATGCATTTCTTGGCCTGGAGGCACAGGCCCGCGAGAGTCTCCACCGCGATGATGTGCGGCGCGAGCTTGCTGATGTCCGCGGGCCTCGCGAGGATGATGCCGAGGTCGTCAGCACATGCGCTTACCAGACCGCGCTCGATGGCTGAGAGCTCGCTGGTGAGGGCTCTGATGACGGGGTCGAAGACGAGTGCCCAGATCGTGCCGCTTAACGGACAGCCCTGCGCAACTCCTGATGCTGCGATCAAGAGGGGGCGGCGTGCACCTCCCAGGTCCAGGTAGGAGACAGGCCAGTGGTAGCAAGCTTGAAGCAGGTGAAGCATGTGTCCATGGATGCCCCACCGCTGGAGAACATTCCACATCCAGTGGTGGCCGAGGCTGGGGAAAGCGGCCGCGATGTCCATGCTGACGAAGACGGGCTTGTCAGTAGCTGCATTAGGTGAAAGACTGTGACGTCGAGCGGCGGCGTCCACCACGACGACGTCACGCAAAAACTGGCGGCCATTGACGAATCCCTGCTGCTCGGGGGACGTCTCGGCTGCGAGGGCGTGAAGCTGTCGATTGGCGGCGGACGCCATCAGCTTCACATCCGAGTTCTTCATTGAGAGCGGACGTAGGCACTCTGG